CCTCCAAAACAAGACACATTTATTAGAAAGAGATTGTAATGGACTATATAAGAGTCAACCAGAAGTCGGAGACAAATATTGTAAGTCGGTTTATGAGCACAAGTACTTATATGTTTGATAAAATGCTGAATGATATGAAATTTCGCAAATATCCAAAGAATGAGGAAGAAGTTATTTTACAACAAAGTCCCCCACGTAAGTTTTTTGTAAAATAGGTTGTAGAAAAATTCTGATTTTTTTATTTTTTATAATAATGAATCCAATTTTAGGAATTTGAGGAGGATGAAAGTGACATCGCCGACATCGATGAAGAGGAGGAGGAGGATGAGGATAATGATGATGATGATGATGATGATGATGATGATGATGATGATGATGATGATGATGATAATGAACAGTTGACCAATGGTAAGAGAGCACGCAACATTTATTATAATATAAGGTGTAGTAAAAAGAAATCCATTATTTTTCCAATAGATGACTTTAGTAATGTGTATCTCGCGTTGTATAAGTGCGATCGGTTTACGCTAGATGGCGTTAGAAAGATAAGATTTCGTACTAAAAAAATTTCTCAGACAGTTTTGTAATTGTTTAACTCAGTATTGTTTGAGCGCGCGTCAAAGATGGACACTAGCAAAGAGAAAATACGCCATATTTTACAGTTTTTCTTCGATAAAGGCGAAAACGCAAGCCAGGCGGCTGAAAATGTGAATAGTGTTTATGGTCCTGATATTATAACAGCCAATCACGCGCAATTTTGGTTTCGTCGATTCCGTTCCGGTAATTTTGATGTCAAAGATGCCTCACGCTCTGGAAGGCCAATTGTCGAAAATATCGATAAAATAATGGAAATCGTCGAGTCCGACCGTCATGTAAGCACTGTTTCGATTGCCCAGGAGCTAAACATTGCACAAAATACCGCTTGGAACCATTTGAATAAGGCTGGATACAAAAAGAAGCTCGATGTATGGGTGCCACACGAGTTAACGCAAAAAAACCTCATGGACCGAATTTCCATCTGCGAATCGCTGCTGAATCGCAACAAAATCGACCCATTTCTGCAGCGGATGGTGACTGGTGATGAAAAGTGGGTCACTTACGACAACGTCAAGCGAAAACGGTCGTGGTCGAAACGCGGTGAGCCGGCGCAAACGGTGGCCAAGCCAGGATTGACGGTCAGGAAGGCTTTGCTGTGTGTTTGGTGGGATTGGCAGGGAATCATCCACTATGAGCTGCTCCCCTACGGCCAAACTCTTAATTCGGACCTGTACTGTCAACAATTGGACCGTCTGAAGGAATCCATCGCCCAGAAGCGGCCAGCTTTGGCCGATAGGGGAGAAATTGTGTTCCATCAGGACAACGCCAGGCCACACACATCGATAGTGACTCGCCAGAAGCTCTGGGAGCTTGGTTGGGAGGTTCTTATGTATCCACCTTATAGTCCGGACCTGGCACCATGTGATTACCACCTGTTCCTGTCTATGGCGAATGATTTTGCTGGTGAAAAATTCGCCTCAAGAGAAACTTGTGAAAATCGACTGTCCCAGTTTTTTGCCAATAGAAACAAAGGTTTCTATGAGAGAGGCATAATGGAATTACCTTCAAAATGGTAACAAGTTATCGAACAAAACGGTACATATTTGACCTAAATTGGATCATTCTAACTATGCTAAATAAAGCCTTCAATTTCATGCAAAAATAATGGATTTCTTTTTACTACACCTTATAATTTACATCTGATTTAAAAATTGTTTACTGTATAGAAAAAAACGTTGAAATTTCTGTATAGAAAAGCGTTAAAATTAATCTTTAACTTTGATCAATCTTCAAATTTGATTTCAGAAGAGGAAAACAATATCGAAATTATCGACATTTCCGACAACGATGAGGAGGAAGAGGATGATAAAATAGAGGAGTAGGAGGATAATGAACAGTTGACCAATGGTAAGAGAGCACGCAATATTTATTATAATAATTTACATTAGATTTAAAAATTTTTTACTGTATAGAAAAAACGTTGAAATTTCTGTATAGAAAAGCGTTAAAATTAATCTTTAAATTTGATCAATCTTCAAATATGATTTCAGAAGAGAAAAACAATATCGAAATCATCGACATCTCCAACAACGATGAAGAGGAGGAGGAGGATGAAACAATCATTATCGATGATGGCGACAATAATATTGAAATCATCGACATCTCCGACAACGATGAGGCGGAGGAAGGTGACATCATTGTCATTAATTTAAATTGATATATTATTGATAAAATATTTATTTATAAAAAATATAATAATAAAAATATTCATAAAATATATAAAAAATGTGAAAACATTATAATAAACAATTATTTTTTACAACATAGTATCCTTGTGTATCCATGAGTTTTGCGAATTGTTGAATCCCAGCCATTTCACATAAACCTTATCACCTTTTCTGCGCAACACTTTTTCCACCAAGTACACGTTTGGATTGGCAACACGATGCAGTTCATACTCGTAGAAACCTCCGACTATAGGCTGTCTGCGAGAATTTTCGAGCAGATAAGTCACATGATTGGTCGCCCGCACCTTGACGATCTTAAACACCTCAGTAGTCCAATTGGGCGTGAAGCCTTTAGCAAAGACAATCTTGAACTTGCTCACGCGCACCGGATCGCCCACTTTGAATCTCGCCGGAGCTGTAATCTTTACGTTGCTGTAGACCGTATCGAGGAGTTTTTTAGCTATCGTAGGGGTCACATCGACAGGACGCATTCCGATGGTCCAGTGCTTGCGCTCGTTGTACTGCAACACGAGATGTGGTAGCGAGTCGATCCATCTGTAGGTTCCTTGTAATGTAAACATTTTCCACATGTCATTCTTCAGCGTACGATTGAATCATTCCACGACAGAAGCCTTCATAACTGAATACGTCGAATAATGATTGATGTTGTGTTTCTTTGCGAGTCTCTGCACATCGGTATTGTAAAATTCCTTCCCCCGGTCTGTTTGCAAATTTGTTGGACATCTTCCGCTGTCTCGAATTATCTTGCCGAACGCCTCGACCACCTCCTTTCCGCTCTTAGTCTTTAGCGGCATGACCCAAGCATGCTTGCTCAGCACATCGATAACGGTGAGTATGTAGTGGTAGCCACTGTTGAGCCGCGAATACGGACGCATCTCCACTACATCGGCCTGCCACAGATCATCGTATCCACGCACAATGACGCGTCTACGAGGAAAATGTCTTCTCGCAGGAGCATGCAACTCCT